TTTTCATCATCTATGTCACTTCTGCTTTTAAGTGGTTCCAATTTTTTAACGTTTTCTGCATCGCCAGGAATATTCACCTCCCATATATCCAATTTGTTGGCGTAAAAATCTTTTTTTATGAAATCAATCCTACTTACTTAGAGTTTTTTGATTAGATATAAAATAAATAGGAAATAAAAGAAAATTGAAAAAAAAACTGGACTAAAATAACATTGGCTATTGAAACTAAAACTGAGTTACTTAAACTATAAAATCTATATAACTAAAAAAAATAACTAAAAGATAGTCAATAGTCTAGCTCTTGCACCAGTGCTAATCTTAGAGATATGACTTTTCTTAATATGAATAATAGAGTATAGTTGATATTGTTTGTTATAGTAGTAGTAATTATTATTGTTATTGTATTAAAAAATCAGTTTGAACAAGTTCAGTTTTTTTTTTGTTGTTTTGACAAAATCTGATTGGATGATTAGAAAGTAATGATCATTTAAAGAATGTAAATTAATTTTAGTTTTTTGAAAATTTTGGGATAGCACAGTAAATAGTACCATAGTAAAGTTATATGTAAAGGTTATATTAAAACAAATAATAGATTCAACAATATTGTTTAAGTGTGTTTTTTGAAAAGTATTTAACTTAATAAGTATAATAATATTGATGTGAATGGTTTTTGTAATATAATAAAAGGAAGAAGGAGGGCAAAAGAACAAAGAAAAAAAACCACTACAGGTTTTTTCTCATATAATCAAAGGATAAACAAGACTTCTAAACTTGAGTAGACTTTAACCAAAGGTCCCATTCTATTGCACTAGTTGTCTTGAAGGTTTTTAAGTTCTTGAGCTGGGGCTCACTTGTGATAAAAAATGTAAAACATTTTTTCTTGTTTAAAATTACCATAAAAAAATTTTTTTAACAAAACAGATGTGATCAGGAAAGAGTTTTTATAATTAATTAATTATTGTTATTATAATTTATTAAATTATCATATTAAATTTTTATATAAATTATAAAATTTTGTCAAATTGTATCGAATTTTTTGAATTTTCTAAATACTAGGAAATGAAAACTATTGTAAGTTTGAAGCTAATAATTATAAAAAAAACTATGCATTAAACAAGCATGATGAACAGAATCCATACATGACTTTTATTTTTATCAAGGATTATAAACATAGAATATCTTTTGATTTGTTTTGGACAATTAAATACTATAAATTAAAACAAACAACAAAATTTAATATATAATTTTATATAATGATTTAATTATAATTTAATGGAAATAATATAATTTGGGTTAGTAACTGGTAATATATATATATATATATTATATATTTAGAAATTTATCTTTTAGTAATTTTTATATTAGTTTAATTGTTATATTTATAATTCAAATTAAAATATCTTATTATAAAAATAAAAATAATTATAAGTTGATTTATGTGTCAATAAAATTAGTTTTTGATTATTTAACTTTGATTATAAAGAATCTTCACAGTTCTATTGTATAAACTTATTATTAAATTTATATAATTTATTGTATTTGGATTTGTTGATAATTAATGCTTAAAATATTATTTGTACTGTAAAAGACATGTTTAACTTTTTCAGGTTTTAACATATTAGATAATTTAAATGATTTTCTAGCTTTAATGATTGTTTGATACAAATTTATATCCGTTATTTCAAGTAAAAGCTGTTTTCTTTATTAATATGTAGTACCATAGATGTTTCAGTTTTTTCTTAACTCTTCCAGCAACAAGGTTATCAATCCTTTTGTTATATTTTTCTATAAAATAGCACCAGCATAAAATTGCTTCTTGGTCAAGCTTATTATCTTTTCTGAACATGCAAACTATATTTAGTGTAGTATCTGAAAATGAATCCTGTTCTTCCAAAGTTTAATCTGATGTAGATATACTGTATGTGCAGGTGATGATAAAAAAACACCTGTTTCACAATTATACTTTTATCCAACTTGGTAACAACATCATCATGCAGATCGGAATTTAGCTCGTCCATGTCACATTATTCCAATCGTGAAGAACTAGTATCATAAGATTGTGATGAGTCTTGCTCATCTTACATTGAAGTTAACATATCCGTGACCTCAGGAATTTAGTCACGTCCTGAGAATTACAAATGCCCTCTTAATCTCTGATTCTTTCTTTTTCCGTCTCATCCCTCTAATCTCATTGCAACTGTATTTATTACACGCTTCATCCAAGAAATCGATCATTTCCTCATCGTACCCCAAGGTTACTAGGTACACGTCCTACTTCATTATTGAGTTGGATTGTTACAGAATCGAGTACATCAACAGTTGGTACCATTACCACTGGCATCGTTTCTTCTTCACTGTTTTGTGTCTGACCAAATTATAATGTTATCCCATCCACCGCTAAACATTGTTCTAATAATGCAGGCCTAGCTTCGAGATCCCCGATCTGGACTTGGGTTCTGAATTCTTAGCATCACGTCTTTCATTCTCTTCAATATTTGCTTCATCATCTCTTTCTCAGCCTCTACCTCGGCAAATCCCAGTAACTTCTCCTTAAGTTCAAGAATCTCAACATAAGTTTGACAACTCAGCTAAGAGGTTAACCTTTAATTTCCTTAATTAATTGTTGGATGGCATGTTTGATATCAATTTTTTATATAAGAAGGAATGATCAAAAGGTTCATTAGCATATTAAAAAAAAAGGTAATTTATTTTCGGAATTACTGATTTATTGTTGTAAAAAATAAATTACAAGGTTCGGTAATGCATAAACTTGTTTACAAAGTGAAGTGGCGTTTCTATACTAATGTCTGCAGTTTTTCGCTTGTCTACACTACTCATATAAACCAAAATGGATTATCATTTATAATGCCCACCTAAATTTAAGTTGTTTGCATTCCGAAATACTAGTATGATCCTTAGAAGTTTATACAAAAAAATGGCATTTGCTTGCGATACTTCAAGGGGTTGACCCGAAGAAAATAATACGACATCGGTGGTCGCAATAAGAAAAAAAATCCTAGGCGTACTAAAAATCAATCGTGACGTAGTAGTGAAGATCACCTGTTTTTAGCTAGAATATGCATAAGCTTACTATACTGTATATCAAAAGTTCATTAGATAGTTCTCTAGGCAGTCCTTTAACAAGGTCTTTATTTGTACTTACTGAAAAATCTGTTTTAAATCACGGTTTTTTGCGTTTGCAGGTATATCACCGTTATAATGGTATTTTGTTTTGTGGTGGGTACCAAAATTTCGAGTGTTTTTGAAGTTGAGGGCCAGGCAGGAATGACAATTTCAAAACTCAGG